CCGAAATCAGCGACACCTCTTTTTGTTTTTTACTAAAGAGGTGTTGTGTTACAACGTCCCCCACCTCTGGAGTAGCACGGTTGGCTACGTACGGCGCGAAAGAAGTTCAACGTGCGTACGTGCACACGTGTTGGCATACGGCCAGGGGTTTCAGTTTAGCAAATTTTCCCGTTCACAATGTTTTTTTTCTCCAGAAAATGTATTTATTCCTGGAGGAATCCGATGAGCTATAAAGCACTTATTTTCACATGTTCTCGTCGTTGGCGGGTAGGCGGCGGTGGGGCATAATACAAAGGGAAGGATTTCACCAACCGCCACGGACCAACTTGGTGAAGTATGGTCAGACAATGACCGACGCGGCGTGAGGAGGCCTCGTGCAATAATCACATTGACACATAACTGAAGATGGTGCGAAGTTTGACACCACGTAACGGGCTGACATTGCGTCAACGCGTCATGCTCTTGGGGAAGGCTCGCCGAGCCTCAAAACTCTTTTTTTTGCAGGAGGGTCCTGCCACGTTGTGATGTTTGGCCGAGTTTTGGGAGGGAGTGGGGAGGGGGGTGGGGAGTGACGCTCGGAGATCCGCACAGATTGCTTCAAGTATCTATTGCTGTGTTGTCATCTCCTGGACACCTGCCATACAGCACCTGCTTCCCAAGCAGTCTCCTGTTCCCCGTTCGCGCGCTCACCACGGTAAGCTAGGGATCACAGTTTTTCGCCTGAGTATCTGTGAAAAGAGCTTCAGTGTAAATATTCGGATAAATAAATATTCTGATTTGTAAACTCAAACATCGTTTATGTTTGGTGGAAGGGGGGCTCTGGATAAATGCACCCCCCCTCCCCCACCTCGGGATGCAACTGAAAGTGTAGCTTCAGGAGGATAAATATAACTGAGTGACAGGGAAATCCAAACCATGCCCTGCATGCGATCGCACCCTGGAACACGGCACATTGTTAGAGCGGTACGGAGACGACAATTACAACAGCCACAAAGTTGGGTGCAGGGCTGCTGACATTACCACAATACTTACTAATAGGGGTTTTTCCACTTTTTTCTGGCAAAAAAACTGACACCCTTTGCAAGGAATCATGTTAACATTAACCACAATACTTGCAGTCAAATGCAAACAAAAAACAATACTCTGATAATGTATGCATTGTCCTTGAAACTGATTGGTCCAGGACAATGCATACATTATCAGAGTATTGTTTTTTGTTTGCATTTGACTGCAAGTATTGTGGTTAATGTTAACATGATTCCTTGCAAAAGGTGTCAGTTTTGTTGCCAGAAAAAAGGGGAAAACCAATATTAGTATATTTTGGTACTGGCAAAAGAGGCCTCATGATTACCAATACTTTGTCACTGACCACTTAGAGGTTTAACACTGATCAAAACTCGGGTGAGCACTGACCACAATGGCTATCACTTGCCGGTAAATCGGCCTTGGGGTTAGGGCTATGGCTGCATTAAGGCCCGGAGCTTAGGCTTAGTGCTTGGGCTATGGTTGGGCTGTGGGCTAAGATAGGGTAACGATGAGGTTAGGGTTGGGGCCTAAGCTCGTGTTGGCTTTCCGCTCGGGTTATGACTCGGGCTAGTGTTGGGTTTCGGGATGGGTTAGGTGGGCGGGTTGTGCTTAGTCGCTCATGTGGATTTGAACGAGGGTCATGGTTATGGTTGGTACCAAGTATTTGATTAGAGCTAGGGATTACGGTTAGGTTGGATCAAGGGATAGGACTGGGCAAGACCTATGTTTGGGTTGGGGTTCGAGTTTCGGGCTAGGGTTAGGGTTGAGGTGTGGACGAGGGCTGAAGGTTATGGATAAGAGTTAGAGATGGGCTTAAGGCGATGGCTGCGGTTGCCTTGGAGAGGTGCAATGGTGTTTATCTGAAATTTAAGTTGGGAACACCATGATAATGGGAAATATTGATTGTCTGGAGCCTCTGATTGATTAACTTTTCTAATCAACGGCACTGAATGTGGAATAGATTGGTCGGATTACCCCGCGTGTTTGTATAACGAAATCGCGGGTATATATATAGGACTATCTCACCATCTCCCTCCCTCAGCTTCCTCCCTCTCCTCATCTCTCGCTTCATTCTTATCTCTGTCAATCTTCCTCCACCCCATCTCTCTCCATTTCACCCCATTACACTCTCCTGTCCCTCTCCTCTCCTTACCTATTCCACCTCTCTCCATCTCCCCCATATTTTGTTTTAAAATCTTATTTTTTTTTAATCACCCACGCTCATGCCGTGTCTCTCTTCAGCCTTCTCTCTCTCTCCCTGTGTCATCCTCCCAATCGTCGGTTCCGATCCTCTCCTCTTATCGAGGGATCTGTATCAAGAGCACAAACACGCGACGCTCTCTGGCTCTCTCACCACCACCACAACAACAGCAGCAGTCGCCATTCGCCACTCAGCGGCGTGGGGACGTCACCACGGCGCCTGTACCAGGCCAGGTGCACTTTGAGGTCGCGCGAAGTGTCGAAGGCTCGCTGACGGGAGGTCACGGGGACAGACCCAGGTGCCCACGTGGGTTGACCGACCGAGACGACTGGCAGCAGAGAGATGGACCAGCTGTGCCCCCAATTCTCTCTCTCTCTCGTGCGCGTGTGCGCGGGTCCGTCGCTGGAGCCAGAATGACCGTCAGAAATTTTTCGGACTATTTAACGTACAATCGTCGTTTACCCTTTGACTTTATCATTTTTTTTAGTTCAGACGTTGCAACAAAGCCTCTTGGCACCCGCTGTCCTACCAGACAGTCTCGTCCCTTCACCTGATGAAGGCCGCTTGTGTTGTGGCCGAAACGTCGTGAGAATATTATTGTGTTATTTTATTTCATCAATTTATTATTTTATTCTCATTCTACGTGACTTTACCGAAAGAACCAAAGAAGACGTTCTACTTAATTAAATAGACTTTTTAATAAATGTTTTCTCCTACAACATCAGAGTGCAGCGGCACATTAAATACGCACTACAATGACGATAGTTCAAAGCGATTTGAAGCATGTTTTATTTTTTGGAGGTGGGGGGACAGAGCTTTGTGACGTCATATTTGAGGGGGGGGGTCTGACTTTTTGTGACGCCGTGTGACGAGGGGGGGGGGAGTCAAAAATCGTCCAAAATCGCGTGACGTCATTTATGGACGGCCCCGAACACGAGGTTCCGTCGAGCGTTGGGCGAACCGTCGGTCCTCGCGGAGAAGGGGCCGTGCAGACGACAGGAGGTGCCTTACTGGCGAGGGCGATGAGGAGAGGATTGGCAACTGTGGGAGTGCGGGCACAGTGCAATAGGGCAGTGTGGAGGGCACCAGAGCCCTGGGGGGCAAAGGAAAGGGCGAAGAGGAAGCAGCGAGTCGGCGTTGTAACCATGCCTCCTACAGAGAAGGCCTCCCCGTGCCGTGGCAGTCGGGATTGTCTGACCATTATTCACCACACTTTGTCAGTACGGATTTGTGAAGTGTGCGCTGGGGGGGGGGTGCTGTGGGGGTGCGGGGGGGGCAGGACCAGTTCAGACGCAAATCGCCACTGACGTTAGCCGTGGCCGAGAATGAAACTCGGCTCGCCAGGTTTAAAACGCAGCACGCTAACCGCCGCGCCCGCCACTCCCGTATCGGCGTCTGCGATGTCCGTAAAGTTGAACTTCTTTCGCGCCGTACGTAGCCAACCGCGCGTATCGGAGGTGCGGAAATCAACGATCGGCAGTTCGTTAAATCGCATCGAATCGATCTCGCATTTCTAAATAACCATCACGGATTATTTTTAAACGAGCGGGGGTTTTTGCGATACGCGCCGGCGTCTCGGAACGTCCGGACGAGGGGCAAGCAGTGAGCAGAGTCGTGGCAGTGGCCTGTCTGGGGGGGGGGGGGGGTGGAAGGTTTGGGGGGGGGTCTCCTCCCTGTGTTGACCCCTAACGACGCCACTGCCGGGGGAACGTGGCACCCGGTTGAGCTCCCCTCTAATTGGGGGGGGGGGGGTGGCCGGCAATGGTGTGAGGCCGTGAGTGTCGCTAACGAGCACTCCCCACGTGATTGCACCTAACAAGTACTGGAGGAAGGGGTTGGTGGGGGTGCGGGGGGGGGGAAGAGGTGCGAGCGGATTTCGGGGGAGGGGTGCAATTGGCTACATGGGGGCCACAGGGATGAGGTGAGCTCATTAGCACGAAATGTCACCGCTGCATTCCTCTATGTCCCTCGTGCTTCCGAGCGGCCTGCCAATGTGTTTCTGTTCTCCCCCCGTGCCTCTCGTTTGTTTGCTTTCACGCAGATCCTGATTTGGGGGGTGGGGCGGTTTGGGGCCGGGAGGGGTGGAGGGGGGGGGTGGGTTAACTCAGCTCATGATCGCTGTCATTATCACCGTCGTCATCTCGCCGTAGACCAATACAATTATCGCCGTTAATCCCAAAATCGAAGTGCGGTTGGGGGGGGGGTGTTCACGTAGTGTCCTCATGTCACCCCCCATCGCGCCCCCGCCCCCCCCCCCACCTGCAACCCCCCTCCACTCATCTCGCGTGCGCTGGATGGTTCATCTGCGGTGTCACGTGGTGGTGGTGGTGGGAAGGTGGAGGGTGAAATTAAAAAAGATCCAAGTTGAACAGCAATTAATTATGGGGTGGTGGAAAGGGGGCATGACTCAGGCCGGCCGCGTGATGTTAACTACCTCGCCTGGTATACAGGAGGTCGTACGGACACCGGACGGAAGTGGTCGGATGTTGCAGTACCCGTCACGGCACGTGCCAAACAATTTTGCTGCAGCTTGCTGATGGTTTTTTTTGTTTGTAACCAGCAAGCTAGCAAGTTGCAATAGTCGATCCTTGTCGATACGACGCGACACGCCGCCGCCGCCGCCGCGGCTGCTGCTGCTGCTTCACAACTCGGCAGCGGCCGAACGCGTCACGGAGACCCCCCGCGTGAACACTCGCAGGACCTGACGATATTTTTGTTTTGTTTTCCCCCCCCCCCCCCCACGTCGGCGATTGCGCGAACCGCGAACCGCAAGGCGTCCAGATGCTGCCGCTGCAGCCGGACGGGGCCCCCAAGGGCTGCGCCGGCTGCCACCGGAGCATTCGCGACCGCTACCTCCTGAAGGCGCTGGACAGGTACTGGCACGAGGACTGCCTGAAGTGCGCCTGCTGCGACTGCCGCCTGGGGGAGGTCGGCTCCACGCTCTACACGCGCGCCAACCTCATCCTGTGCCGCAGGGACTACCTGAGGTGCCGCGCCCGTCACGCCTGCCCTCTTTCACCCTCCACGCGGAATGCGATGTTGATTTAAAAAAAAATGTTACCGTTATTTTTGTTATTGTAAACCAAAAAAAAATTGCAATCCTTTTTTTATCATTGAAAAGTAGCAATTATTTTTTTTTATTCTTGAATTATTTACGAATGTTTTTATTCTTCAATTATTTACTATTTTTTTATTTAAACATTTATTGAATAAAAAAAAATAGATTTTTTTTAAATACATGTTTTTTTGAGCATACAAAATTATCATTTACAAAAAAATACCTATAAAAAGAATTACTACAATTTTTACATTGAAAAAATGTCACTGAACAATTTGTTATTGAAAACCTATTTTCATGCACAAAAATATACTTTGTTGACACAAAAAACTAAACTTTTTTCTCCCAACTCATTACCCCTCGTCCCTCCACGATTAAACCCAGGTTGGGTGGGGGTGGAGAAAATCGTGGTCCAGCGTTCAGAACGTTTTACGATATCTCCTCATGGCAACGTCGCGAGTTCTTTCTTGCGAAATGGGATTTCTTGTGACCCCCCAAGTCAGTAAGTAGTTACGTGGCATTGGGCTCAAAATAATAATGATGATGATGATGATGAGAAATGTAATTGATGACAAAAGTCGCCCGGCCACCTCCCAATCGAGGCCTAGCACGTGCCTGCCGCATCACACACGGGCTGCTGAGCCTCTCGGTGGGATCACCACAAACCCCACACCGCGCCTTCTCCTGGGTCTCGAGTTCAGAGGCTGAGCCTACATAACGAGCACAGTCTGGGTCAGTGTCATCCTCATCATCCTCGTCACCATTATGATGACGACGACGATGATGTCCATGACAATTCGCCTGATTCTAGATTTCTCTCGGGGATCTCAGACGAGTATGTGGAGGTTCGAACAGCTCTTGGTGCAATGGGTGGCCTACACTTGAACTCGATTCATGAGTGCGGATGCTGCATTAGGATCTTCCCCAGCGCCCCCGCGTTAGAGGGGACACCAGGCTTTTCGCTGCGTTTTGGCTTTCCGCTTGTGGTTGGTGCTTTCCGATAACAATTGATTGCATCATCTTCATCCTCGCAACTTCCTCGCCTATCGTTCACCAACACGGGACAACCGAATTTGTCTTGACGGCTCGCGTCCACAGCCTCTCGCAATTAACGGCAGGGCTTGCAGCTCGCGGCTCCCTTTAATAAACACACACAATTAACAAAGGCCCAGATTTCTCTGGGGGGCTCGAGGCTTCTGTGGAAGCGGGGGTGAGCGTGGGGTGGGGGGCAGCGTTTTGTTTTGCTGTCATTACGCTTAGTGTTCACTGCGCTGGTGGTGATGGTGGGTGGGTGGATCACTCGGTGGGTGTGTGGCTGAGTGGGTAGCTGGGTTTTGTTGTTCGGTTGGATAACTGGCTGGCTGGGTAGCCCGATGGCTGGGTGGCTGGTTAGCTGGCTGTGTGGGTAGGTGTATGGATAGGTGTCTCAGTGAGCTGGTGGCTGAGTGGGTAGTTGGCTTTGTGGCTGGGTGTGAGGCTAGGTGGTTGGGCAGTGAGTGGCTCTGTGTATGTGCATATTGGTGGGCGGCGGGGGGGGGGGGGTAAATGTGGCAGGGGCGAGAAAAAGGGTTGAGCTCGTTAATCCTGCACCAAATTGTTCCATAAATTAGCAGCTGGCTGTGGGCACGGTGCCTTCAGCACCCGGGCGACCGCGCGAAGCACACATGGCGAAGGTCGTTTGTAAACCCTCGTCCATCTTTTCCCACAGCCAGGCATCTGGGCACGACGGTCGCCCATGTCCTTGCGATACATCTTATCGAACCACCGCCACCGCCACACAGTGTTCAACCACGTCCAAACACCCGTCACCACCATATCTGCGATCACCAACACCATTGCCACCATCTTCATCGTTCATGTCGGCACCGCTCTCTTCACTGTCATCAGCACCACCATCGTCATTAATTCTGTCGCGTTCCCCACCATTCGTGGCACCACCAGCACCACCGCTGCCGCAAATACATTCATAAACACCACCACCACCATCATCATCACCACCATCATCACCACCATCATCATCATTTTCCAGAACCACCGGTCTTAAACATCATCGGTACCGCCATCCTCGCCATCATCATTATCACCACAACCATCTTCACTTTCACAATCGCACTAACCACCACTTTCCTCATCAGCCACAGCAACCACATCGTGAACACCACCACCATCATCATCAACATCTCCCGTGCCATCAGCGTCACCACCTCCACAACCACCATCATCATCAACGCAAGACAACACGACCATCACCGCTGTCCTCACCCGGCTGTGCAAACCCCCCCCCCCCCGCCTCAATCTCTCCCCACCACATCACAGCTGCCCCCTCTACGTGCGACGGCGAATGATATAACGAGCCGCAATTGCAGCAGCGGACTGCTTAGTGGCGTTATTGATCGGCGCGCCGGCTCGCTGAGATCATGGCTGCTATTATTATGCTGATTTGTCAGGGCTAAGAGAGCTCACCCCCGGCAAGCTGAGGCATTGTGTGCTCTGTGGGGTTGGCGAGCGGTGGGGGGGGGTCTTGCAGGAGGCTATTAAACCAGAACACTGGTCGGCTGGGTGGGTGAGCGGGTAAGGCTTCCAAAACGTCCTCCTGGTTTTGTTACTGTTGTTATCTTTTTTGAGGGCGCCACGGTGGCTAGATGTTAACTACCTCGCCCGGTATACAGGAGGTCGTGGGTTCGATCCTGAGCCCGAAGCCTGTATAGTTGAGTTTGCGTGTCTCTCTCCACATGGCCGCGTGGATTTTTCTCCAGTTCGTCTGGTTTTTTTTCCCCTACACATTTAGAATGAACGTGGCGTTTCGAGTGTTTGGCTGCGATAGATTTTCCACACGATGATGAGCCACTTCGTTGAGCTTTTCATTTGTGATAGCCAGGTGGCTTCTGAAAAAGATCTACATAGCTCAGTGGGCCTTGTTAAAAGAAGACGGCTGTTAAGTTTCGTTACCATGTTTGTTTGCGACGGAAGGATGTGCTCAATCCCACGACCCTTGCTTTCAAGAGGGTCTTGCTGCGCTGTTCATTTGTTCGCGATAGGCGAGCGATGTTGCTGCTGCTGCTCCTGCGTGTAAAGTGATCCCACCCCAAGGAAATTGCAAATATTTTTTGTTCAGCATTTGGATGTTAGTTGCAATCGGCAGTTGCATTGTATTGTGTTTGTTAGCTATGGCAAGCGACGGGAGAACCTGCAGAAAAGCCCATGCAGAACATACAAACTCCACGTGGAGGTTCGCCCCCACTCCCCCCCAAGGATTGTCCCAGGTACGGAAATCTGTCCCCGTGTCCCCCAGAAACACAGAATTTGCAAACATCAGTTGAATGTCCCGGTTTAAGAGATTTTTTTGGCTTCCTGAATGGCGTTGCCACCACTGAGAAACTAAATATCCGGCGGACATATCGTGGAGAGAAGAATATCTCACAATGCCGTAGAGAGGGGGGAACAATGTGTAAAGAAAAGAGTTTGTCTTTGAAGAGGACGTCCGGGGAAAAACAGGGAGAGGTGGCAATCCATTCTCACGATATCGACAAAGGGCGGGGCTACCGGAAAGTTAGGGGCGGGGTTTTGCAGAGGAGTAGCCAATGAGCAGCAGGGGGCCGTGAACCAATGTGCGAGGCCGCTCCCTGCTGGGGGGGTGGCGCTGGTGGTGAAGTGGGCGTGGCCGTGTAAAAGTGGGCGGGGGTTGACGGAGGGATGGGGCCTCTCGGTCCACGTGTCACCGGGATTGAGCCTCTCAGAAATGTTCAGTCGACGTGAACGCGTGGCAAGGTGAAGAGGGGAGGAAGACAAAAACACAAAAGTTAAGTTATAAAGTGTCACATAAGTTGGGGGGGGGGGGGGGGGGGGGAGGTTCCACATTCCTAAGGTGGGGCCCAGTATTCACCTTGACTTACCACAGAGTTAAGTTGTAATGTCTCGCCATTCTGGTGAGTTCTTAGACACTAGATAGACACACTGGTCTCTGGTGGGGTCTTAGACACTAGATAGACACACTGGTCTCTGATGAGTTCTTAGACAATAGATAGACACACTGGTCTCTGAGGGGGTCTTAGACACTAGATAGACACACTGGTCTCTGGTGGGGTCTTAGACAATAGATAGACACACTGGTCTCTGGTGGGGTCTTAGACACTAGATAGACACACTGGTCTCTGGTGGGGTCTTAGACACTAGATAGACACACTGGTCTCTGGTGGGGTCTTAGACAATAGATAGACACACTGGTCTCTGATGGGGTCTTAGACACTAGATAGACACACTGGTCTCTGGTGGGGTCTTAGACAGTAGATAGACACACTGGTCTCTGGTGGGGTCTTAGACAATAGATAGACACACTGGTCTCTGATGGGGTCTTAGACAATAGATAGACACACTGGTCTCTGATGGGGTCTTAGACAATAGATAGACACACTGGTCTCTGGTGGGGTCTTGGACACTAGATAGACACACTGGTCTCTGATGGGGTCTTAGACACTAGATAGACACACTGGTCTCTGATGGGGTCTTAGACACTAGATAGACACACTGGTCTCTGATGGGGTCTTAGACACTAGATAGACACACTGGTCTCTGGTGGGGTCTTGGACACTAGATAGACACACTGGTCTCTGGTGAGGTCTTAGACACTAGATAGACACACTGGTCTCTGATGGGGTCTTAGACACTAGATAGACACACTGGTCTCTGGTGGGGTCTTAGACAATATATAGACACACTCGTCTCTGATGGGGTCTTAGACACTAGATAGACACACTGGTCTCTGATGAGATCTTAGACACTAGATAGACACACTGGTCTCTGATGAGGTCTTACACACTAGATAGACACACTGGTCTCTGGTGGGGTCTTAGACAATAGATAGACACACTGGTCTCTGGTGGGGTCTTAGACACTAGATAGACACACTGGTCTCTGGTGGGGTCTTAGACA